TAAGTAATTGCCGATTTGTTCAATGAAATAAAAATTTTTTTTTTTACTTGGAATGAAGTTTAATCTGTAATGTATTTTCCATTTTGTTCGATGACCTTTTGCCATCTCTCTGACAACTTGAAAATTCCACGCTCGTAGAAAGTCTGATCCTTTTCGGCCAAAAACTGAGTTAAGTGAGATTTTACAGCGTCGTCGTCATTAAAAGTTTTACCACGAAGGGAGTTGTCCAGGGATACGATTGACCAATTCTGGTCGCTTTTCCTTGACCGCTGCATTCAATTTGTCCAGTTGCTAACATTCACGGATAATAAAAAATAACAATAATAATAATAATAATAATAATAATTTTATAATATAACATTTACGGATATCATAAATCTGAAATCGGCAATTAATTAGTTGCCAACCCAATAATAATAATAATAATCATGGGGTAAAATGAAACGAAGGTTACGTCAAGGTTGTGTCAAGGTTATTTCTCGAGATTTTTCTCAACAGAGAAGAAAAATTTCGGGGCCGAATATACCTCTGGCTGGAGTCCATCTCCGTTGGGTCGGTGATAAGGATGGTGCGCGTAGGCCTGATGATTCGGAGCCGTGTTGGTGTTGACGGTGTTGGCGGTGTTGGCGGAAGCGGAGTTCAAGTTGTGGGGCATCTCGCGCGTGAAAAGCGTGCGCGGCGGCTGGGGTCAGCTGCCCCGTATCCCGACTATCTCCTCATACACCATGCTGCTGGTCGTCACCATTTATCATTCCACGCCCTGCGCGCATTCAATTTATTTATCCCTCTGCGGGTGCGTTCTCCGCGCGCCTTTCGGCGTCGAGCTTCTATGACTCGAACGTTTCGACGTTCCCCGTTCGATTCGGTCCATCGCGCAAGTACATATTCGAAGAGGCCGACTCGCTCAAGAAAGAATCGGATTTCGAACGGCGCGGCGCGGCGACCGGACGAAAATAGGAAGAACGAGAGCGATCATCGTGGTGGATGCGATCGCAACGCGGCACGCACGAGCGAGCCTCGGGTTCAACGCAGGCTCCCATTAACCGATTATACGTCCATTAAACGATTAACATTCCGAGCATTCCACTCGCCTGCCGCGGTCGGCATGCCAGTTAAATAAAATCGACTTTTACGCTGTTTTCCTTCACGGAATTTAGTGCGTTCGATCGGTCTGCAACCGAACCGGGAACTCGGAATTATCGCGTCAACGTTCGTCCGATAAACCTGTCCAAGGAAACTTTTGAGAGAGAGAGAGAGAGAGAGAGAGAGAGAGAGAGAGAGAGAGAGAGAGAGAGAGAGAGAAGCAAAATCCTGATTAACCTTCGCTCAATCGATCGCCGCCGCCTAGCTACCTGGCTAAACACGGTAGCAGTGGATGCAACAACTCTTTCGAAACGGAAGCGGAAGGTGGATGGTATTCGGATCGCTTCCAGGTTCGACCTGTCCCGATGCGAAACGTGAGACGATTCATTGGTATTCTGCCAGCGTGAGACAATGCGACCGGTCGGGCCACAAGGATAGAAACGGAGGTGGTGGTCTTCTCTTGGCACGGAGCAGCGATGCTTTACGATAATTGCTACGCGTAATTGCACCGCTTGTTTATCATGCGCGACGAAGCAGGTCCGCGAACCAGGACGAATCGGTTTTAACCCTTTGCGGTCGAAGCTATTTGAATTCGAAATCCAAAACACGATTTCTGATCTACAGTAGTTCTATTTTATATAATTGATTGCGACTTATGCACATGAAATTGAGCCTGTTGACAAGTACAATGCCATTTTAATAGTTTCTTTTCAAGTAGAAACGAGTCCGATGCTCTTAGAATGATTTTGAAAAATAGTACACCAATTTTTAGTGGCGCCTCAGAGTCGCCATTCGCGTGCAAAGGGTTAACGATCGATCACACGAGAATTCGAGGGAGAACGCGCACTTAGGATGATCCTCAAGACCTATCGCGATCCTGTCTGTTTTCCCAATGAATCGGATGCGCGGACGAACGAGTTCGATTTAGTAGAATCGCCGTCGACGACAATGTGGACGCGCATTAGGACTGAAACACGCTGTACATCGTACGAGTTGTTTTCCCGGTCTGGTCAAATGTTCTTTCATTGATTTGTATCTGAGTAGTCAGACCAGACGTGTCGTTCCTGTTCCGTGCCGGTCACGGTCTGGCTCCGATCAAACCCAAAGAATACTTTACTGAAACAAGACGGGACTGGTACGACGTGGACAGGGTGCATTGTGCACTGTTCTGCATTGTGCACTCGACTTTCGCACACAATTGGTTCCTGAAAATGTGTGCGAATGTTGAATGTTCGAAAGTAGAGGGATGTAAAAAAATATGCACCAAAAACGGTGTTTTAACCCTTTTAGTGCCATGCGAAAAAGAGGTGCCTACGCGAGAATAANTTCTGCATTGTGCACTCGACTTTCGCACACAATTGGTTCCTGAAAATGTGTGCGAATGTTGAATGTTCGAAAGTAGAGGGATGTAAAAAAATATGCACCAAAAACGGTGTTTTAACCCTTTTAGTGCCATGCGAAAAAGAGGTGCCTACGCGAGAATAACCGGCCGAATTTCACGGTTTTACTAGGGTTTGGGAAAATGCTCATAAAAACCAAACAAGAAACAATATTTACATGTTTCAAAAAGCAGTAAATTAAGGACGAGATAGAGAACAAAACAATGACACTAGTTTTTCTATATTCATTGAAAATTATATAAATAACAAAGGTATAAAAGATCATAAAGAAAGTAAAAGTCCAGTTCTCTCTTACAAAAAACGTATTTGCACATACAAAAAGTCATCTTTTCATCATAATTTTATATAGATCATTTATTACAAAGTATATACTTTGCATTTCTGATATATTTTGTAACAAGATAAATAATATTACATAACAAACATAAAAAATAACTCGAAGGTACATGGTAAGCGCCGGACGGATTATCTCTTCCGAAATATGTAATTGTTATAGGTAATATAACATTGCTGAAACAAAATTATGTTGTCATAAATATATTTGTGATATAATTTTGCATAATACCTCATTATAATAACATAAATATTTATATTTATATATTGTAAATGTGTAAAATTTTGTTATTATAAAGCGCTATAAGGCGCTGGCCGATATATCGGCTCTGGCACTTCTCGTCAGTGCAGCAAGAGCCGATATATCGGCCTCCGGCATTAAAAGGGTTAAAGTATTTATTTATTTATTTATTTATTTATTTAACTTTCTGGTGTTTTCTTTATAAACTTGTCAACAGTTAGTTGAGTACCTCCTTTTTTTTTCTTTTCGTGATAAAGATTTCTATAACAGATTTCTATAACGTACTTGAGATATACCTTCTCCATTGGGATCGCATTCTTCCCTAATAGTTAAAAATTTGCCTAAATTAAAAAAAAAACATAAAGGCTTCATTCGTATTTTTAATTGTCAAAGTTTTGACCTCTTGATCGGAACAACATTGTAATCTGATGGCTAAAGTCTGATGTCCCCTGAGAGGGGGCATCCAATTACATGCAATGTAGCCTACTCGACTTACGATGTCCGCTCAGAGGGAACATTCGACCGCAAAGGCTTACAAAGTTGAATTTTTTTAAATGTGCGAAATAGCGAATTGCGCGAAAGTAGAATACGCGAAAGTCGGGGGCCGCCTGTATTTCGTTCCAGTCGGTCCATCACCGACATTTTCACAGCTACATACGCGACGCAAACAAAGCTGATGCAACGTAACATCTTTTTATATTGTTTATTACTAGAATGCGGATTTTATGAACAGTGGAAATATATAAAGAATTTAAAAATACGTTAACGCATTATTTTCAACTCGACAAAATACATAAATAGCGAAAGATATGTCTGTGCAGCTTCTGTATCTTGCAATTGATACAGGTAATTTTTTTTTTTTTTCATAACAATCCGCCGTCTATTTATTACTTTGTATTACATACATCGTTATTATTGTGCGAATTATTTTATTGCGATATTCGTGTTAAAAATACCTTTTTTGTTATACAATAGAATATGTATATATTTTATTATTAGTTCAGCAGATCTTTAGCGTTATTTTCCGATAAAAGTATATATATATAAAAGTAAAATAAGTAAAATATATATATATTTTATTATTAGTTTAGCAGATCTTTAGCGTTATTTTCCGATAAAAGTGAATTTATGAATTGTGAAAACGTTAACGTGTATAATATAGTTTTTTAGGGACAGCAAAATTCGCACTAAATTCCACGAAATTACAGTTACAATATCTGCTAAACTGATCATTTTTCGACATACATATGTCAATACTTTTGTATAGAGAACGTCGAGCTGCATCAAACAGTGTATACGAAGATATATGATTATAATTAAAAAACGTGAAGGTGACCTTGAAATCTTCGAAAATCTCGAGCTATAAAAAATGTTGTTATCGCCGTATTTATAGATCTTCCTAAACTGAACAACTTTTGTTGACGAAGTTGTTCGATATTTCCGAAAATAACGGAGATATTTACGTGGCCTCCTTCAGCTGAGATATAACCTGCATATGTAATGTATTTGATCGAATCGAGAACGCCGGCACGATATTGGCACGGAGCAATATGAACGCGACAGGATTTTACGGGATCGAGACCGATTTGAGATTGAGACTGGACCAGGAACGGCGAGATGGTATTGTTCCAGCCCTAAGCGTGGAATTAAAAGTGACTCGGATGAAACCGATCGAAACGATTTCTGGAGCACTCGAGCCAGCAGAAAGCCAGCCGCGAGCCGCAGTCACGAACCGCGATCAAGTGCGAAATGAAATACGAGCATGTCGGCATTGATTTACTCGGTCTTCCGAACACGTTCGGGTCGCGAGATCCGACCGAGGACATCGTCTCTGCCGTTCGAATGTCTGGGCCAGCATTTCTAACACTTCTGGCCTGAGGTTGGACCGCACCAACTTCCTGGAATACGCGTGTCGAACCAAAATTCCGTAGACGGATCGGTTGGGTGGTTCACGGGATCGCACAGCGGGTCGCAAACACGTTTATCGTGTACGAAATGAAATTTTTCAGGTATTACATTTCGGAAAAAGCTTTAGCATACATTTATCGGTGACCCTTCGAAGATTCAAAATCCAAAATGTTAGCTATTTTAAATAATTATATACGCGGGTACATCGCGCTAAAAACATTAGTCGGAGATTCAAATGAAATCTTTCATTCTAATAACTCATAAAGTTATTAACTCATTTTAATCAATGTTCTATATACAGGAAATTCCACGAAACTGTGTCGCCACGTTTTTTCGAGCACTTCCGACAGTCTGACTGAAAAAATTGTTCCGAACGAAAGTTACTCACTTTTTGGCCAGTTACAGATTGCAATTTAACAAATTTCAGGAAAAATGTTTTAGTTCGAAAGATCAAGATCGCCTTCATTTGTTTTAAATTGCGTGATAAATATAAATAAATAAATAAATAAATTTATATATATATATAATATATATAAATATATTATTTTTTACATCATATTATTGTAGCTCGTGTGAAGTCGAATTCAACGAACTGTTATACTGTGACCTTCGGATGACTTTGACTAAGTATTAGCTAGGACTTAAAATTATTAAACATGTAGAAAAAATAAATAATAATAAATAAATATAACGAAATAAATATATATCCCCGTCCATATAGTTTATAGAATAAATCAAAATAAAATAGGAAATCATCTTGATTTTTTTTCAATATCAATATATATTTTTCTCTTC